AATTATCATACCAACTGGAGTACTAGTAAAGTAATCCCAAATAGATAGCTATGCAATAGCATACCAGCTATTCATCCTGGATGGATAAGGAATGGACCAACACTGACTAGAAGACATCAGTTGCAACACATTACTCTTTTCACTAAGGAAGATGTAATGGAGGCACTAAGAGGTATAAATGACATGAAGGCACCAAGGGGTGATGAGTTTAATACATGTTTCTTCAAAAAACTTGGCATATTATTGGAGATGATATTGTTGCTGCAGTACTGGAGTTCTTTACTACTGGGAGAATGTATAAGCCTATCAATAACACAATAGTCACCCTTATACCTAAAGTAAAAAATCCAAGTTCAATCAGAGAGTATAGACCTATTTCTTGTTGCACTACAGTATATAAAATCATATCCAAAATGATAACAAGCAGATTGAGGCAAGTGATGAATACATTGGTAGATGAGAGTCAAGCAGCCTTTGTTCCAAGAAGAGGATTGATAGACAATGTACTGCTCAGTCATGAACTAATAAAAGGCTATGGTAGGAAAGGGGTCTCACCAAGATGCATGATCAAGATTGACATGCAAAAGGCATATGATTCAATTGAATGGGTTTTTTTGGAGCAGGTATTAACTGGGTTGTGTTTTCCCAAAGCATTTATATGATGGATTATGGAGTGTCTCAAAACTATATCTTATTCCATCTTTATTAATGGGAGCATTACTATTCCATTTGAAGCAAAAAGGGGGGGGGGGTGAGGCAGGGTGATCCAATGTCACCACTATTATTTGTATTAGCAATGGAGTACCTGACTAGAATCCTGAAATAAATGAAGGAGGAACCTAATTTCAATTATCATCCAAGATGTGAGAAACTAAACATTGTCCAGCTCAGTTTTGCTGATGATTTGCTGCTATTATGCAGAGGTGATGTGATGTCTATACATCTATTATGTGAATGTTTCAATGTTTTTCAAAAGCTACTGGACTTGTTGCAAACCAAAGTAAAAGCTGCATGTATTTTGGTGGTGTTCAAATAGTAGTACATCAGGACATTATTCAAGCTACTAGTTTTGCCATTGGTGTACTTCCTTTAGATACTTAGGAGTTCCTCTGAGCTCAAAAAACTATCTGTGAGCCAGTGCCAACCTTTACTAGACAAAATGCTGGGAAAAGTCAAACAATGGACAGTCAAATTCTTAAGCTATGCAGGAAGACTACAGTTGATAAAGAGTGTTTTAATTGCCATCCAAAACTTCTGGTCACAGGTCTTTTCACTACCAAAGAAAATTATACAGATGATTGAAGGTATTTGCAGAAGATTCCTCTGGACTGGTGATACCAATACAAGTAAAAAAGCTCTGGTAGCTTGGGAGAAGATGTGCAGGCCTAAATCCAAAGGAGGACTGAACATAACTGATCTTGGCACATGGAATAGAGCAGCATTATTAAAACACCTCTAGAATGTTTGTATGAAAAAGGACAAACTGTGGATAAGGTGGGTGCATGTTTACTACATAAAAGGGAAGATTCCATGGCAAGTAGAAGTGAAGCAAGCTTCATGGATAATCAGGAGGATACTACAGGCTGGAAAATATATAAATGAAGCAAGGTTGGATATTGGGAAGGTGTTAGGAACAAAATCATTCTCTATCAGGTTAATGTACAATCAACTGAGAGGATATTTCCCTAAAGAAGATTGGAGCAGATTACTATGTAATAACAAAGGTTGTCCAAGGTGAAAATTCATATTATACCTTGCTGTACAGGAGAAGTTATATACCAAAGACAAATTGAGCAGATGGGGAGTACAAGTTAATCCAAATTGTCCACTTTGTGAGCAAGAGCCGGAGAGTCATCAACACATGTTCTTTATGTGTAGATTCTCAGCAAAAGTATGGGGGAAGCTGTTGACATGGATAGGATTGGCACGAAGAGTAACTGGCTAGAATGACGAACTCAAATGGACAGCAGATCATATGAAAGGCAAAGGATCGAAAGCTATGCTCTACAGGATGTGTATTACAAGTGTTGTTTACCAGATATGGATGGAAAGAAATAGAAGGATTTTTCAACAGGAAAAGAGAAGTAGTGTAGCTATCACAAGGCAAATAATACAGAAGATACATTGTATAGGAAATAGGCAAAGTAGCTTAAGGAATGAACTTCAAAAATTAAATTTCTATCCTTAGGAGTTGTTAGAATACAAAAAAGAGTATACGAAGTTTGGGGCTGCATGTCCAAACTCAATTACGAATATACTTGTACATATTTACTTGGTAATAAAAATTGTTTAATTACCAAAAAAAAATAAACAAATAAATAGATGATCAGTCTGTATGTAGGTAATTAAATGACAACATCTACACATTTGATCTCTTGCATGGCTTTTCTATTACTGCATTTCTTTTTATAATTGCTAGGATTACGTTTTGCTTGAATTGATAATCTATTGGAAACAACCTCTTTACCTTCGTAAAGTGAGATAAGTTTGCGTATGCACTATCCTCTCTATGCTCCAGTATTTTGTTATTGATGACCTACACATTTGACATAATTACATATGCATGCAGTATACAGAACATCATCTACCAGTATTTATTAATATTCTATGCCAACAACCCCACAAAGAAAGTCATCTTAAATGTAAGTCTGGCCATGCGTTTATCTCGAACTTCAAGAGTCCCCATGCCGAAGACCGTGAAGATGCCTTTTAAGTGAGGGGTCCAAAACGCACTGTCTTTTTCTAAGTTTTGTCCTTGTTTTATCAAACATAGTACATTTAATTAGCTTCAATATGTCTTTATTTCTAGTCTAGTGTTTTAAAAGATGTGGGCGTAACGCAATATGTTTTATATATGATTTAGCAAAGCATAAGCCTCGAGATACGGGCGTAAGTCCCATCGGTATTTAATTATTAANATTATACGCTACTTACAAGCACAAGCAACTTGAGTAGGAAAAAATAAAATTTTATATACGAAGAAACAAAAATGATGACGAACATGCAATTTAAACTTTAAACTTGCTGCTACGAAGGAGAATTGAGTTCTCTTTGTATTTGTAAAAAATAATAATTGAATATTCGTTACTTTTGGGAGATATTAGCAGACTAGCAAAAGAATTAAAAAAAGACAATAAATTAGGGCTTCAATCAATAAAAAAAGATCTTGACTTTTAAATTTAATACATTTCAGTTCTTTTTTAAAACTTTTGAGTAATTACAAGCTGACTTTTGAGAATTTGGGTATTATATAAAGGACTTATTCAACAAATTTTGTTTTAATTTGAAAAAGTCTCTAGAGCTTACGCCTCACTACAAAAACGCGCCTCAAATACCCGGGCGTACACCCCGAACGCCTCGAACACCCGGGCGAACGCCTCGAAATGATGGGCGTATGCCTCTTGAGAATTTCTCCCCACACCATCGCCTCGGGACATTTTTGATGTGCCTCGCCCCAGGGCTCACCCAAAAATGCATTTTAAAATACTGTTCTAGTCTAAAGTAGAGCAACATATCTCTCGTAGACGAGCAATATCCTTTAGTGTTTTTGTCTCAAATTATCTGTCGTGTTTCTCTTTAACATGTCCCTTAAGAAATATTAACTAGAACGAGGGTTGGACTATTTTTATCCTTGTTTATATCTTAAGATATAATCTCTCTTAATTGAATATCTATCTTATTTATGTGCTATCTCCATCTTCAAGAATAATTATTATTAAGAGTAAAATGAGAAAAATATAATTTATTTGTCTTGAACTTGTAAAATTACAAATAATTTAAGACAATTGTTTTTAGAAAGCATGACAGATAATTTGAGACGGAGAGAGTATCTTTTTTACTTAGTTTTTTTGCCATTATTCACCTTAATGTCTTCATTAATTTCATAAATCTCAACTATTTTCCTTGTCATTGTGTGCCTTAAAGTTTACATATTTTAACGTTCCTTTTACATTTACTACCGCAAAATAATTTATTTTATCTTAAACTAGTAAAATGACAAATAATTTGAGATAACTATTTTTAGAAAACATGACAGATAATTTGAGACGGCGAAAATATCTTTTCTACTCAGGTTTTTTGCCACTATGCACCTTAATGTTTTCATTAATTTCATAACTCTCAACTATTTTCCTTGTCATTTTGTGCCTTAAAGTTCTCATATTTTGACGTTTCTTTTACATTTACTACCGCAAAAACTGCTCCTTCAAACAACTAAGTTAGGTTGAAGTATTTAATTCATCAAAAAATATTCGGAAAAGGGCCAAGTATATCTCTTTACTATCAGAAAAGGTTTAAATATATCCGTCGTTATACTTTGAGTCCAAATATACCCATGTTATTTATACTATTGGTTCAAATATACTCTTTTTGCGTTAAGTTTGTTTAAAGTGAACATTCAATCATACGTGGGACTGACACTTGATGAGGTGGATCAATGCCACATGGCTTGCCACCTTGGACATTCAATCATAAGTGAGACTGACATTTGATGGGGTGGATCCATGCCACATGGCTTGCCACCTTAGCGCCTCTAACCCATTTTATCTCTCTTCTATTATTTCCCACCACTAAAATTTTCTTCCCCTCCACCACTATTGCCACACATTACTGCTACCATGAAAAATATTATATTTCAAATTTTAGTTTTTTATATATGGATTAGGGGCACTGAGATGGCATGTCACGTGATATCCACCTCATCAAATATCAGTGCACGTAGGGTTGAATATCCACCTTTGACAAACTTAACAGAAGAAGGGTATATTTGAATCAATAGTATTACAATATGGGTATATTTGAACCCAAAGTATAACGAAGAATATATTTAAATATTTTCTCATAGTAGAAGGATATATTTGTCCCTTTATCGAAAAAGATCAAACTTCTAAATTTGTCATATTGTAACATTTCTTTCTCATTTACTACCAAATATAGTGCGCCTACATATAGTTAGCTCCATTTTCTGTCTCTTCAATGGCTGCAAACTCTAATAATGTAGCTGTGGTTATGGTTCCCTTTCCTGAATATGGGCACCAAACTCCATTTCTTCACCTTTCTCGTATTATCTCTTCCTATGATATTCCAGTCCACTATGTTAGCATTGGTGCACGAAATCAAGAACTGAAACGTCGGTTACAAGGATCAAACCTTGATCAATTTCCCAACATACAATTCCATGACCTTTCAATACCTTCAGCTCGTGCTACTACAGCTGAAAAGGAAGACGACAACTATATGTCGTACTTTGCATCCTTAGAACTACTAGGCGAGCCCCTATGTGCAATTTGTCATCAACTTTTGACCACTTGTAAAAGAGTGGTGATTATTCATGACTCAATAATGCTATCAGTTGTTCAAGGTGTGATTTCAATAACCAATGTCGAGACATACATTTTTCATGTCATCTCTGCTTTCACTGTTTGTTCGTTGTTCCAACAAGTTAGCGGTTCAGCAGAAAACAATGACTTGTTCTTACCTTTGCAACACCACATTCCTTCATTCCAAAGCTGTTATCCGCCAGAGATGCTGGAATTCATAAAGATGTTACGCGATTGGACGTTCAAATCTGGAGAAATCTTCAATACCTGTATAGATATAGAAGGTCCGTATCTAAATGCACTCGCTAAACAAAGCGAGAAGCCATTGTGGGATCTTGGTCCTTTGATCAATCCTGTCTATTTACACAACGACGAGTATTCTGCTTCACCTAAAATAGTAAGCCACAGATGTATTGAATGGCTTGATAAACAACCTAAGAATTCTGTCATCTATGTTTCATTTGGAACAGCAAGAACTTTCTCGCTTGAACAAATTATTGAACTTGCCCTTGGTTTAGAGAGGTCAGAACAAAAGTTCATATGGGTTCTAAGAGAAGCAGATAAAAAGGGGAATGATTTTACAACAGACGTTCCGAAGATTGAGCTGCCAATAGGGTTTGAAGAAAGAGTAGCAGAAAGAGGAATAATAGCAAGAGATTTTGTACCTCAGATGGAAATTCTAGCACACCCTTCCACAGGTGGTTATTTATTCCATTCGGGTTGGAACTCTTTCTTGGAAAGCCTAACAATGGGAGTGCCAATGGCAACTTGGCCAATCCACTCTGATAATCCATTCAACGACGTGCTTATAACAAAGGTGTTGAAAGTTGGCCTAGTAGTGAAGGATTGGGCACACAAAGATGACTTGGTGAAAGCAGATAGAATTGAAAATGGAGTGAGGACTTTGATAACTTCCCCTGAAGGAGAAGAGATGAGGCAGAGAGCGATAGCGTTGAGCCAAGCTATCAAGATGTCTGTGAAAGATGGTGGCGCTACTAAGGAGCAAACGGAGTCTTTCATCGCTCACATCACCAGATAATTAACTGGTCATCTCTTTTGTTGAATTATATATCTTGAATAACTTAAAATGTATGATTTCATTGTTATAACTTATAAGTTGGGTGCTTAATAAACATTGGCTTCATTCACAGTGTCTTGATTCCAATTCAACAGAGTGAAGTGAAGAATCCTTTTAAAACCAATTGACATAGACGAGGAAGCTCAAAATTAAAGCTAGAGAACACAGATCAAAGAGAAAAATTCTGAGGGGTTAACATAAGATTTACATTGGATTGTACAGAAAAAACTAACTTTTAAAATCCTCATACTTACATATAGAACATAACAGACGAAAGATATAAACAAACACCACAATTGATATTATTACTGTAAGGTCCCGTGAAAATTTCTACTCGAAAACCAAATCTCGTGGTGTCAAGTAAGGATCATGTGTTAGAAATTCATAAAATTCTTGCTCGCCGCGGTTCGGATCCTTTGGATTGATCTGTGCACTGAAAAGTTAAGAAATTATGTTTCCAGAAGAGTGCATTTCTGCGGTCCATTATGCGGTCGCATAATAGGTATGCGGACCGCAGAGTCAGTCAGTGTGATGTTTAATTTGAGGTCAACTATGCGGCCAATTATGCGATCGCATAATCGATATGCGGGCCACATAGTCATCGCATAATCCCCTTGAAATATTTGTGAAGGGCAGTTCTGCGGTGCATTATGCGACCGCAGAACAGGTATGCAGACCGCATTTCTGTCGCATACCCAAACAGTTTGTCCAGATTTTGGGACCATTTTTGCGATCCATTTTGCGGGCCACATGTCCATTATGCGATCGCAAATCGTGTCGGGGCTCCTATTTTCTAACTTTTAAAACTCGACCTCATCCCATTAAAAACACCCTGTTAGACCATTTTTCTTTCATTTCATTGCATTTAGAGAGAAAGGAAGTTCTAGAGAGAGAGGGAGTGATCTTCATCAAGTCCCCACTTAATTCTTGCCCCAAATCTTTGAAGATTGTCAAGTGAAATTGTTAGGTCTTCACCCTAAGAGGTAAGAACTTGTACCCTCATCTATAATTTCGAAATTTCCATTAAAATAAGTGATTAGCAAGTGGATTCATGGGTATAAGGGTTGATAACCTTGCATGCATAAAAGATAATGGGGTATGGGGAGATTGTGAACCAAAAAGATAACAATTGTGGTATATGATGATGAAAATCTCTCACAAAAGGGTCCTAAAATCACTATGCACACTTAGTGCTTGATAATTTACTTAAATGAGCTAGAATCTTATTCATGCCTCTAATTCTTGGTTCAACTTGTAATTTTCATAAAATTGATCGAGGTTGCTAGGAAATTTTGGAATTTATTATAAGGATTTAAGAAAAACTCTATTAAGGTATGTATGGCTAAAACCCCATCCTCTTAGGAATTGAGCCTCCATGATGCCCGTACAAATTTTGTAAGTCCGAAATTTGATTGATGTGGTACTTGCTACGCCAAATGATTCGATGTTGTGAAAATGTATGTGGAAGGTGCTTCTCCATGTATTTAATGTGTTATTCTTTGTAAATTGAGGATGTGTGGAAAACATGAGTTATGTGCAAAATGCCTAAATGTCAAGTCAAAGTTACATTGTGATTAATATGCCGAACTAGATGAATTTCTCTCTATGCTTATAACTTAAATTGCTTTTCTATGTGCCTATGAATTGTTATAGGTGAAATAAAGATTGAAATGAGACGATTAATGAGAAAAGAGTAACGTCTTGGTAAGACGGCTTAGCCGATCGGGCCGTGATCCGACGCCATGTTATACACACATGGTGGTAATGTATTGATAATTAAAACTGAAAGTGAGAATAGGATAAGGGTAACGTCTTGGTAAGACGGCTTAGCCGATCAGGCCGTGATCGGACTCCGCTCAAGGAAGCGGTAGTAATGTGGATGATGATGCAACGATATGGAATGCCCCAATCTAAAATTTCAGAAATTATGTTAAAACTATGTGAACCTCTTATATTGTTGACGTGGTGCTTATTTGAAGCTTTGTTGTCCTTATGATTTCTTTTTACTCTTGTATGGTCATTCTTTCTAACTAAATGGTGTTTAGTTATACATACTAGTACTATTCCATGGTACTAACACCCCTTTTGCCGGGGGCGCTATATTTTTAATGAATGTAGGTGGCTCCATAGCGGATAGTGCCGATCACGTGTAGCGGAGCATCCTCCTCTCAAAGTCTTGGTGAGCCCCTTTCTCCTTCAAGGGGTTATGTCGTACATATTTTGTTAGAGTTATGCACTTTTGAGGTATAGACGGGGCATTGTTGCCGGCGTTGTCATTATTGTCATTCGTATCCTTAGAGGCTCCGTAGACGATTGTGTGTGTTACTGTTATGTACGGGTGTTGGATGGGTCTATGAACAATGTTGTAAATCTAAACTCTTGTTTTCTCTAGATTGTAACCGTATGTAATCTTGGAAACTTAACTATGGCTTAAGGTTGTGATATAAAATGAACTAACAATGTTGCACGTACCATTTTTCCTATTGTCTAAATAAATGGAAGTAAGGTTCCCTTAACCTTATTGAGTTGGGTAGAAAGTGTTCGATAAGGTTTGCTCAGTTGGGTTCACTCGATTGAGCGCCGGTTGCGCCTCCTGGGGTTTGGGCGTGACAATTACATTTCTTCAATTAAATTCAGGGATAACTTTAGAAAAGACAAAAAAATTAAGTAATTCTCGTTCTTCTTCAGCTAAGTAATATATGAGCTATTGTGCTGGATTATTTTTCCTACTGTAAGCGTAATATTGTGTAAGTTATTGCAATAACATTTCAAGGGAATTATGGCTAGAACGACTCAGCCATACAACTTAAATGTAAGTCTATTCGAAAGCATTGAGGTTTTGGTGTGTGTATTGGTCAAAATCCGATCGTTGCGGTCGACCAGACCGAGATCCTGTTCAACCGGCGAGATAATGAAACATGACATGGTTTGCTCCAAACCCTGTACTCACAATACCCGCTAAGTCAAAGAATAACATTCAGGAAACGACGAAAGCGGACGTGATGTTTAAAGTGCATTGACCCAAGAACATTGGAAGGATTCCATAATTATATATAGGAAGTGAACCTTCCTAGAGAAGGCTCTCTCTCTCTCTCTCTTTCTCTCTCTCTCTCTCTCTTTCTCTCTTTCCTCTCCCCTGTAATCTTCTTAGCAAAAAAATGACAAAACAATCTTCCATTGATTATGTAAAACAGTCATCTCCATCGAATAGTGAGAGAAGTAATAAAAAACCTCAATGAGATTGATCACCTCTATTTCATCTTATGCATTGTTTTTTGGTTTGCTTATCGATCTGGAGTTTATTATGTTTGACTAAGATTTACCTCTTCATCTTCTTTAATTAATTTAATCAAAAGGTTTCAATATCTTTTCGATCGAACAATTTGGCGCCGTCTGTGGGGATTTCTTAGTGAAAACTTCCTAGTCTCCTTCAGATCAAAAATCGAAAACACGATCACCCACTGAAACGAACGGTAAGTAAACCCCACACGCCAACCTTGATAATGATGCTATACACAAGCAGAAGTTTCAACCTACATCCTCCCCTACACGCCGGGCAGCCCATGAACCAACCAAAACGAGCCTAGCCCGCACGGGAAAAAGGCACAAAAAAGGAAGGGAAGAGATCTGAATACGGTTACCGAATTTAGAAAACACCGCCCCTATCAATCATTGAAATGCAAATCAAAGTGAGCAACGCCACAGTTCCACCTTCTGCTGTTTGCTCAAATAAGGACGCAAGCGCCGCGCGGGCGCGCAAGCAAGGAAACATCCCAACTGAAGAATGGGAAATTACTACAAAACGTCTGAAATATCGTCCACCAGACAAACCCAACCCCTAGGAAATGATACCCTTAAGCGATACCCCCTCTCCCTTACCAAGAAGATGCCCCAAGAGAGCGCTCTCGGGGTCTTAAAGACCGTACCGACGAGGGGGAACTTCTCAAGGTCAAAGGGTAATTCATCGCCCCACCCACCAATGACGCTTCCAGACCGATAAGCAAAAGGGTTAGGCAGGGAAACTCCAATAGGTGGGTGAAACGAGTGTGAGCAAAGCAACACCATTTTCTACTCTCCGAAATCACATTCCCCGATGCAAATAAAATCAAGCAAACTGGGACTCCCCCAGAAGATACCTAACTCTCCGAAAAATAGGAACTCGCAATGGGTTAATATTTTGACGAAAGTTCGAAGTAACGCCCTCAAGGCCAAGAGCCTTCGCCAAAAGGAATAGTTCGACTTCGATAGAACAAGGATGGGTTAATATTTTGACGAAAGTTCGAAGTAACGCCCTCAAGGCCAAGAGCCTTCGCCAAAAGGAATAGTTCGACTTCGATAGAACAAGGATGGGTTAATATTTTGACGAAAGTTTGAAATAACGCACTCAAGGCCAAGGACCTTCGCCAAAAAGAAGATTTCGACTTCGATCAAACAACGACAGGTTAATATTTCGACGAAAGTTCGAAATAACACCCTCAAGGCCAAGGGCCTTCGCCAAAAGGAAGATTTCGACTTCGATCAAGCAATGACAAGTTAATATTTGGACAAAAGTTCGAAATAACACAATTAAGCCAAGGGCCTTTGACAAAAGGAAGAGTTCGACTTCGATCGAAGAACGACGGGTTAATATTTCTACAAAATTTCAAAATAACGCCCTCAAGGCCAAGGGCATTTGCCAAAAGGAAGAGTTCGACTTTGATCGAACAATGACGGGTTAATATTTCGACGAAATTTTGAAATAACACCCCCAAGGCCAAGGGCCTTCACCAAAAGGAAGAGTTCGACTTCGATCGAACAACGACGGGTTAATATTTTGACAAAAGTTCTAAAAAACACCCTCAAGGCCAAGGGCCTTCGCCAAAAGGAAGAGTTCGACTTCGATCGAACAATGACGGGTTAATATTTCGGCAAAAATTCAAAATAACACCATTAAGGCCAAGGGCCTTCGCCAAAAGGAAGAGTTCGACTTCGATCGAAGAACAACGGGTTAATATTTCTGCAAAAGT